AGTGGATGGTCATATCAAATTTTAAGAAATGCTGATGCATGGACATGTGCACATACTGTTAGCTGGAAGTATACCCCCCATCCCCAACACATGCATACACACACACACACACACACACACACAAAGACACATAACATATTGGACAGATATTAGGTGACGGATTAAGGTAAAGAGTGTGAATGGAGCTGCAGTGGGAAGGCATGAGAGAATAACTGAGTGAGAAATACTTGCCTTCTTGCCCTGTTGTGACCCCAGAGAGAAAAAGATGAGGAGAGACGAAAAGTAGGAAAGACAAAGAATGATAAAGATGCATCCATCATCATCTTCCCAAAACATTCTAAAAATTGTAAATATTTCTCACAGTAGGTAATAAAATACAACACTGCAGTAAAAGAATCTTAGATCTCATAGACAAACTTGACATAATAAGAAACATTGAATTTGCACTTAATCTCTTTTTTTTAGAACAGGAAATGATTAGAAGGGTGCTACAGAATGGGCATGCAAGGAAACAACATTTAAACATACAGTAGTAATAAAGAAAATCCCTTCCACTCCATGCTTTGTCTCCCCTGGCTCTGGATTTCATTTAAAATACTGGTAATTCATATCTCATAAATGACATGACAGGCATCAACGTCCATCATTCAGCGGCCTCTTAAAATGAAAACATTTTGGACATTGCCTTTAAAATATATTGAGTCGTGTGATGTAGTCTGCAAGAAAGAAAAAATACTGAGCACTGAGTTTCCTTGGGGTCATGGAAATCTGGTGCAGGATGAAACAATGTCCTTCACATAAAACACAACAGGCAGATTCATTGTCCCTCTGTCTCTATAGCACGGTGTCTCAATGTCCAATTGCTTTCCACACCATACTTTCTATCTCTTCTTTCTTGCGCTTTACTTACTTTACTATACTTACTACTCTGTCACCATCTCTTCAACTACAGCATTAGGTCATTTATTCTATGCATGAAACATTCCTGTATGTGATATATATATATATATAAAAAAATCAGTGTTCATCTATCACACCCTTGTGACAAGTGGCTGCAGGAACCACCTACTGCATGCAGGGAAGTGGTAAGATGAATCAAGGTATTGGTGGTCTGGCTCCAGTGTGAAATTCTATATGGCTGTACAGAGAACTTTAGAGTCCCAAACTCCCTATCAGAGTAGTCCGAGGCAGCTAGGCATGGTGTGTTACTTTCTTTAACAGGCCTGTAAACGTTCTGACAGCCTTTATGGCACAGTGACAGACTCGTTATGGCAGAGAGGGAGTGATACAGAGGCCGAAACACTCAGTCAAAATCTCATCTGTTGGAATAACTGCACCATTAGCCGTTTATGCTTTGTGGCGTCACATCAAAGTTATGAAAAATCCACTAAAGCCAGATGGTTATGTGCTGAATCCGGTGTTTTTCTTCTAATTATATCCCTTGATCAAAGCGACTATCCACTTGGGCGTCTATAAAGTCACGATTGAGTATTCAAACTTCAGAGTCTGTCCATTCATCCGTCCATATGTAATCATGCAAACATATACAAGACAAACATATGCAGTGGAAGACCATCACATGGCAAGGGGAAGACAGAGGACAGAATAGTGAGTACTTGCCCCAAGAGGAAGCTGTGAAATTCCAGTGTGGAAGCAGTACAGGAAAGAATAAGTTATATCAGAATTGAAATGCAAAGAACTGTATGAAGAGTAACAGTTGCACATACTGTATGTACATATATTAATGAATTCTGTCCTTGTGATTATTAGCTATGTTCTGAGCTGAGCAGGCGGAGTGTAGCATACAGCGAGACAGCCTTTAGAGCCCAAACAGAGCGAAAAAATAAGCTGAAGAAAAAAAAAGGGGGGGGGATTTAGGAGGAATAAAGAAAACGAGGTGAGGACAGGTTTACAGATTAGATAGAGAGACAGAGAAAAACAGAGAGACAGACAGAGAAAACAATCCAGAGTACTTCGGGTAGCCTGTTACGCCACGAAAAATTAAAGAAATAAAAGTCTTAAAGGTGCCGTGTATAACATTTAATTTATAGGTATGTTTTTATACATGTTTGTTACCTTAGAATGAGCTATTTTTATGTACAGAGGGAGCGGGTCCTCTTTAATGGAGGGTGCCATGTGGAACCACCACGTTTCTGCAGCAGCCCATAGGGACAAACCAAAATACTGGCTCTAGATAGAGAATGTCATGATTTTTGTGAGTTTGGCGGCCACCGCTTGGAACGGAAGAGAGAGGCGAGGGGATTGTAATAATAGTTGCCACTAAATCCCACACACTGGACCTTTAAGGACAGGGAGGTAAAGAGAGTGAATTGGCCCTAAAACATGGTGAAAATTGTAGGGACAGAAGAGAAAAAGGAGAGGCGCTAATAAGCAGGGTGAGGAGGTGTGGGAGGTTTTGTCTTCTACTAAGCCAAATGGAGGGCCAGAAGAGGGGAGATCAAAAGAACTAATGCTTGGGCTGGGCCTGGGAGAAGGAACGCATGTGGATGAGTGTGTGTGGGAGTGTGGGGTGACTGACCAGTGGGTTACACTACAAAAGAAAAGCACCGTGGGGATCTGCTGATCTGAGCAGCAAATACAAAGGAGTGGTTGTGGTTCCAGCTAGGAACGAGTAATACAAAGCAAGCGGGAGATACTCAAGAGTATGACCCAAAGAAAGTATGCATGGGAGTTGGTTGGCACCAGAAAAAATTAATCTGATTTGTTTGTACATTGTTTATCATGAGGGCGTATGCTGTACTCACACATAGCTTCTTTCATGTCATCCCCCAGTTTGGCTTGAATGAAGTGTTCACTGTATTTAGGCAGAACTAGAGCCAGGCTGCAGAAAAGACAATCACAGTCACACTGATGATAAAATTTTGTGGTTAGGTCATTTGTGTGAATAATTTGTTTCCAGAAACAATTTCAATTCCAATGAAAAGCTTAATTTAAAGCATGGAATGTTTTAGAAAATGTTCTGTGGAGTGCTTTCGAATACTTTATTTGCATGGGATTATAAGGAATTTTGGTTAGTAAAGAGACAAATACAAAACTGATTAAAGCCTTAATTAATTGTGTATGTTTTTCAGAATGTTTTTCTCTGCATGTTCAGTGAAATGCAAAAAGATTCTCATAAATGTATTTCCTATTTACCAAGCAGAGCCTGATGTCAGAAACAAGACAGTGACCCCTGTTGGATTAAGTAGTGTCCTCCATCAACTAGATTGCTCTTGGCAGTTAGTGGCAGTGAACTTTCTTGAAAAACATAGTAAAAAGCACAATAAACCATAAAGAAATATTACAAAATGACTGCAATGGCTCACCTGTAATCTGTTCCATTGACTGGTCCCCATGTGTACGTCCTGACTCCTCTATCGATGTACCTCTGATAAAGATGATACACAGGAACTGGCATTTAGAATTGCTTTGTAATGTTAATGTTATTAGGGCTCTTTTTTTATTATTTATTGTTCAAAACAACAATCCAGGTCATAATGAGTATAAAATACATGTAAAAACAAGGAAGTCTGGCACATAGTCAGCAGTTCATTTGTGTTTTTTTTATCCCATTCCTTGTATTAGTGGATATATATTGTTAGCCATGGTCACTACATGATTACCTTAAGTACAGCAAACAACATTGAACTTGTAGAGAACATCAAAACTATAAAATCTTTTTTTAGAAATGTTTTGATAAAGCAAAAGCAATGAGCCTGACAAATGAACTGCAAACAAACAGCTTCGTTAATATCCTATATAAGTGATATACTGCATTACTTTATTATAGTGACAATAGTATACTCATATTGCTCTAACAGAAGTCGTACTTTAACTTTTGTGTAACGGTTAAATTGCACTGAAAATATATTGTTATTTCAGCCCCAGTTTGTCTATTTTACAATGTCTGAGAAATCTCTGCGGCATTACTGCAGAATATCCAGCTGCAGATCAAAAGCATGATAGGAGATCGCTACAAAAGCATCACATTTTAAGTTCCCCAATATACTCCAGTGTATCTTAAACCCCTTCCTGTATTTTCTCTTACCTCATCCTGAGTTTTCACCAGAGTGTGAATGGTACGTTCGCCTGTCTCTCCATCAATCATCATTTTCCTGATCTACAGGGAAGAAAAAGACAGCATACATGTAGTTCCAGTGTCTACTTCACTGAGTATCAGCTGATCTGAAAACATTCTTTCTTAGAAACCTCATAGTACTGAGTTAGGGACACTAATTAAATCACTTGGAGGTGATCATGATAGCTTTATGAGGAGACATGAGACATCTGGCACCTGAATACCTGACTGCATGTATATGCATCTCTGTGTCTTTGTGAGTGTGTGTGTGTGTGCATGGCGGGAGGGATTTCCATATATCTGCACACTCTTACCTCCACTTTTATGTCATTCTCCAGTTCAGCATCCAAGAAGTCCAGGGTAACAGGTTCCTGGAATTTAGGGTTCTGTGAAAAGGATGATATTTTAGTCTGAAGAGTGACACAATTTAAGAATACTACACACAAACAACATATGAACCTAATAGGATCAATATGAACAAAACAAAGAAGAACTTTTTCCTTTGGGGCTTAGTGGTTTCTGGAAGTTAAGTTTATTATGTAATAACCTTCTTTCATATCACTATCATCTAAAGCCTGCTGAGTTGATAAAGTAAAATGTTATAAAATGCAGTGGACCACAATTTTACAATTGTTATTCAGAGATAGGTTCTTATCAGCCATAGAGAGGAATAGGTCTCAGAATCCTAGCACTGCCATTGCATTGAATAACACATAATATCTAATTATTTGAGCCACAGAGTTCTTTTGTATTCAGTTCAGTGGTAATCATTTTTCCTAAACACATGAATCTAATTAAATCTAAGGTATAAAAAACAAAGGGTACCATATGGCAATGTTTTGACAACATATCTGTGACACCAGACACAGATGAATCAGATTTGATACAAAGTGACACTGGACCCTATTAATGTCCTCTCTTAAAAACCCTATATGTCTGAGTGGCTTTATGGTGGTATAAAATGGTAGCAGTAATCTAGTGCTTCTCTATAAAACAGCAGTACATGGAATCTGATACCAGTCTGTCCTCCACAGCGTTTGTTCGCTCAGTGACTCAAAACATGGGGTGATGCGGTCAGAGCACACTATTGTTTTTACAGTGTTTTCCACAAAGATTCTTGTCTTTATGTTGACATATGCAACCACTGACTCTGAAAATCAATAAATATGCATTTCAACTTTAAATGAAGCAAGAGAATGAGGAATAAAACGTGGCTCTTGTCACAACAAAGCTTACATTTTAAAATAAACCACTGGTAGATAAAGTGTGAATCAGTACAAGGACAAGAGAAGCAATAAACGAAATACTCAATCATTTAACTGGCATGAGTTGAGTTCCTTACATTTGATGGTAAGTGAAATGAAATGGAGCAGCAAAGGAAGATGATTAAGATGAAGCATCTCAACATGAAAATGAGAAAAGAAAGAATAAAAGATCAAGAGGTATAACACTGGGTGATACAGAATGAAACATCAAACATACACAAGAAAGACAGGAGAGAATATGAAAAGAACGGAAATGGGAACACTGGATTGTGTGAAAAAGAAGCAAAGTGAAAAAGATAAAATGAGAAATAAGGAGTGAGAAAAGAAGAGCAACAAGATTAAAAAGAAATAATGAGAGAGGGGAGAGAATACTGTATGTCAGCTGAGATGTGATGAGGTGAGCAGGGGTGTGAGATCAAAATAAAAAATGCTACTGCAACTGGGGAGATTTGTGTGATGAATATGAAACATGTACAAACATAATCAAATACAGAAAGAGCCACTGCTGAGACAGAGAGAGGTGAGGCATGGGAAATGTTCAAAGGGCCCAAGGTCACCATCAGTATTCACACAATCTCCCATTTGGATTCTGTGAGACAATGAATGATTGACATGCAGCCATCCAAGCCTTACACAGACACACACACACACAGTACAGAGGGCTCATGGGGGAAAACAATAACAATGCAGACTTGAATGATATATCAAACTGAGATAATTTTGACAATGCCTTTATGTGTGTGCTATAATACTAAGGCTCCCAGCTGAAATTGCTTTCTATAAGCCTACATTTGAGAGGAAACCTGGAGTATAATAAAATAAGTCAATTCTCTCCCCAGTGTATTTTTTTCAAATAACACCAGCAGTACTGTTGAACAACTTTTGTTAGTATTATTGGAAACCACCAAAAAAAGGTGGAATTGCACAAAATAGTTGTTCCCTACATACTCAAGACAAGTACTTTTTCAGTTAGTAAAATCATTTGTATTAACTTTTTACATTTCAATTTTCATTAGTTCATTCTAAATTATCAAATGTCCATCATTTAGGTACATGATATTTGAGGTGACTAATAGGTGAATGACAAACCACCAGGACTCACTTATTTTCTCTTAGAATTAACCCTGTCCCAAAATATGCTCACACAAACCTGTACACAATCAGAAAACATACACAACACACTTTTGAAAATTTTACCAATCGATCATTACAAGCAATAGAACAATGTATCATCACACACCTATTCAGACATAGGGATATAGACCACATACTAGATGCACAATGATTACCTACATTGGCTGCTACTATAGTATGGTGCCATTATTGTAGCAAAACTATTTACAAATGTTAGCATAGAGTTGTGTAACTGTATCACACATTTGCAGATTCCTGTACACATTCACAAATCTTAGTAGGCTATATATACAGATTATTTTAGACATTTACAAATGTGATTACGCACACATGGACGGAGATACAGTTATATAAATGTCCACTCACATTTGTAAATAGTTTTGCTACAATAATGGCTCCATACTATATCTTCTGAATATTGAATCTATGGGACTACAATACAGAAAACTCTACATTACTACCTTCAGGAACTACTTCTGCACTCTACAGCACTTCTACTATGTCTCACCTCATGGAAAGTGACAGCATACTTATTACTGAGTCTGAGCTTCCTGTTACGAATCCTTTTCTAGGAAAGTTATGAAAAGATGCATGGTGATGCATTTTGGTGTTTCAAAAATGTATGAGTGTATGTCCAGGTGTGTGTGTTTGTGTGTGTGTGTGTGTAGTACTTTTCAAAATGGTTACTGTTTAACTGTGTAGGATTTAGTGGCATCTAGTGGTGTAGTTGCAGATTGCAACCAACTGGACACCACTCGCCTTTCAAGAGTATACCTTGTATATAATATTGTCCATTTTTCCCAATAGATCCTCCTAAATGTTACACACTTGACCTTTAGGGAAAACCATAAGGGCAAATAGACATTTATAAATATCTTGCATTTCCATAATCTACTTACACCATAAACTTTTTTCTTCACTTCTTTAATATTTTTTACCAGTCTGTAGTTGAAAATGTCCTCTTTTCACGTAGAGCCTACAATCATACTTGTATACTAATACTTTATTTATTTTGCTTTGTCAACACTACTATGCCAATAAAATTATTAAACTGAGAATTAAAATAATTTAACCAATAATTGTTTGTCCTTATGGATTAGATTGTGGACTGATAGATGGTATATAAGTGTGTGATCCCCAAGGGTTGACTTTTTCAGATCCAGGCAGGTGCCGCTTTGAATATCTTGACTCCAAACCCAGTACACAATGCTGGGTTTGCCTCGGGTGGAATGTATTGCACTGGTACCTCTTGTGGGGTCATAACTACTTTATACCAGGTCGCATCTTAATACTTGCCAGTGGCTAGAAATCTTGCTGCACTTATTTGAGGAGCTGTAACACTACTCAGGACCTTTGGCCTGTCAAGAAAGGCAGCATAAAATTGAAATGGTTTGGTGGAGGTGTTGGATTTTTCCTTTAAATTTCAACTTTGAGCCTTGTTGTAAATATGCTTAAAATTGTGATCAAATCAAAACTTTTTAATGAACTGAATTGGCTGAAAGTAAGCTAAAAGTACATTAAAGCCTCCCCTAAAAAAACAAAAACAAACATTAGTGTTTTTATATTGCAAAACCTAATCTATGTAAATCGAATCTAATCATGTCAGTAGCATGATATATTTCTATGGTGGAACAAATTCAATTATATACAGGGGTGTGCTCCTTTCACCTTAAAACACATTATCTCTAGTATATGCCACAGTGCCTCTTTTTAACCTTCATTCTTAAACATATATGCCGGTTTACTGCCAAGTCTACGTATCTATTTTATCTCACATGGTAATGAGTGACCTTCTAGCTGACATCTGAGGACTGATGATATCAAGTCATACTTTAACTGGGGAATGAATTCTCTTTATGAAGATTGATGAGGTGACGGCACATGGAAAAGTTTGAAAAGGGCCTGTACCATCTGCTAGCCTGCATATTATTCATTGAGTGCAAGCAGTTATTGTGTAACCACATGGAATAGTCAGAATATAATATAATGCTTTATGACATGAGCCACATAAAGTGATGCATAGGGCAGATGTCATACCTTTGGCTGGAGATTGGGGTGCAGCAGAACATATCCATTGGGATCGATAGCAAAGTAGTATCCATTTGGGCCAATCTGAAGCAAAAGATGAACAAAGGAGAAGGAAATTAGATCTTTGTGTCTTGAACGGTAGAATCCTAGTACATGTACAGAATAATGGTAAGACAACTGGCAATTACTGTCAAAGAGTGTGTGAAACAAGGGCCTCAGTGGTCTTAAAAAACAAGAGGTTAAGATGCAACAAAAGAGATTTTTTTTATTTGTTGTGGATTTTATATAGATGTTTTATCTCTAATGGAATCACATCACTCACTAATTATACCAGAGGGAAAACTCTGCAAGTTCTTCACAACTGTCACAAGACTAGTTTGATAAATGTATTTTTCTGCGAGCATGTGATCATGTATGGGTGTTAAACTCACTGTGAAGCGTGGTGTGAGCTTCTTGATGTCATCCAGAGAAACATCAATCCCCATTACGCCAAGAATCAACTGATTCTGGTGCTGAGAGAAAATATAGAGAGAGGTAAAATATATTCACAAGGTTCTGCTACTGATGACTCCACTCATCATGTGTTTAAACATTAATTCACTGCACCTCTCCATTCCTGTCATCTTTGGTCTTTGTTTTATTGAAGACAGGTAGTGTTCCAGTGATGACCAGACCCAGTTCCTGTTTGAGAATCAAGCAAAAGCGTTATTCAACTCATAAATCTTATTATGTTAAAATAAACAAGGCAGGGACAATATTCCTCTGTTGCAAAGAGTGTCATACTAGAGCATCAAGGTACACATTAGTCCACTGGACTTGTTTGGCCTGCTTGTCTGCCAGAACCATTGGTCTTCCCAGGACATCCAGGTACTCCTAAATTGGACAAACAACATATTTTCCAGGTAAATGCATCCGTGCCGTCAGGCTGTTAAGTGCTTAATGAAGGTGAAAAATAAAAAAATCATACTCTAACCTGTGTGTTTATTCTGATGGCTCCGATGGATGGAATCTCATAGAAGTAACCTGGAAGAATTATCGTCCATTTAAACAAAACTGAATGCCACAATCACACAATGATAACACAACAACAGGAGGAAATAAACAGCAACTGTACATAACAGAAACATCCAAAATAAGGAGCAAAAGCCTGTAATCTCATAGTGTAGTTTAGTGCATCGTGAGTCTGCCTAGTGTGAAATGAGTTATCAGACACGGAAAGAAGTGACTTTTGACAACTTTTTACTTGTGATCAATCATTCTTTGAATATTCTTATACTTTCATATCACCCTTAGGCCACCTGAGTAGGTTGCAACAAAGTATTGAATGTATTTGAAATCACTACCACTGTCTAGTCTACAGTTAAACACAACTTAATTTAATACAAGGTATATGGAAAACTGCTAACAATACTCAGTATTGATGTATAATATGATCTGTTTTGTACCTTTGTTGGAACAGGCCATCCACTGAATGGGTCCTTTATCATAGTTGTGCTGTCCTACTGAGAAGGTGAAGATCCTCACCTGGAACACATGATTCAATTAAACAATACTTATCATGACATAACCTCTTACTATGTTAAGAAATATTCTGATAATAATTCTGGTAGGATACATTTAAAAAAAATGTATTTCTTGTTGGTTTTCTTTCTTTCTTTGTTAATATTAATTTTGGTCAATTGATTATTATTACTATATATTCGGAATATTGTGTTGAACAGACAATTTAATTTAACCATGTGCATGTGCACATTTATGATGTGTGAGTGTGTATGTCTCTGTGCGTGTAGGTTTCTTTTTCACACATTAAGCAGAAAACCTAATCTGCCTTCTGTTTAAACTTTTGGGTAGTGAGGATATGCACTCGGAAGTTGCAACCCAAAGGGAGCTCCAAAAAGCTGAATCTAATAAAAACTACAATGGGAGCACATCCACATAGATAAAAGCAAACAATATTTGTGTGTGTGTGTGTGTGTGTGTGTGTGTGTGGTGTGCATGTGTAATACGTACCTTTTTGTCAGCATTGTACTTCTCCAGTATGGCCTGAGCTCTTTCCTCTCCTCCATCAGTAAACAGCATGATGATCTTGTTGCAGTTTGCTCTGCTCACATTAGTCTAGTCAAAGGAAAATGTGAGAATCTTCTGATTAATGTGTAATTTACTTTCAGGCATTGTATAATGAATACACTTTTGGTCGGTCTGCTGGTCTACTCCGCTTTGTCCCTGATAAAGATCGCCTATACACATGCGTCATTAATGTTGGAATACTGTAATGTCAAAAACCCTGCTTGATCAATATTGAAAGTATCTAAAAAAATAATGGTCCAGATTGTTATTCTAAATTATCTTTGTTGACCTCCAGAACTTTCCTTTTATCTCTATCTCAGACACATTCACGCTCCAGAGGGGTACAACCTTTTGATTTAGACAGGTCAGTGGTATTTCCTCTAGTGCAAGCCTTGTTTGTTCAACCCAAAATAATTAAATTGTGGAGTGTTATGAGTATTGCAGCTTCACATGTACTACTTTAAGCAGCACTGTCAAATCACCCTTCTTGAGGATAATGCTTTTCCATTTCAGGGTGGTCATTTATCTGTAACAACCTAATATTTATTTTAATGTGTGGACAGTAAATAGTTGAGTCGAAGTAGCATATTCAACCAGCAGATGGCAGTGAAAGACAATGCTCTGCTGCTGCTGAAAATGTGGAGGCATCAAAGGTTACATTCAAAACTTGTTTTAAGGCTCTTCTGCTCTCAGTTACATATAAGAGGGACATTATCGCTTTTATTAACAATAACAGAAAACTGAAAAATCTTACCGCAGAGAGCTGCTCAAAAGCAAACTCGAAGCCTTTTGTGTAATTTGTAATTCCTTTAGCTGTGATGTTCTGTACAGCATCCTTCAGCAGCTTCTTGTTCCTTACGTTGGCTTGAACCAGATGGTCGAAACACGCCGTCTTCTTCACTCTGGTGTTAAACTAGGAAACAGAGGCAAGGAGTTACGACCCACAAATTATTCATACAATTACAACATATGTGCACCTGAAATAAACGATACAAAATGCAGCACACACACAACCACTCCCACCTGGCCTTGGTGGTTATCAAGCAGTGGTAAACAGACACATTCATCAAGCCCCACTAATTGCTTCACATCCTCGGAGCTCAACGATTTGGTACCCATGGAAACAAGATTCTGCTATATTAGAACAAGGTTAGGCAGCAACACCATCTTTTTTTAAAGGTAAGACCTCCTCAGCACACATATGCACACACACTCCACCAAACATTAACCAAAAGCCTGCCTGTTTCTACACTGTTTCTAGATCAGTGCTCCAAGTCTAACTAATGTTCCATATTTTCATTATTAAAAATCTGAACTGAACCTTTTACACTGTCCAGGGGCAAACAAAAAGGACAGATTCAAAGAGCTCCCAATGACAATAAGTACAAATGACAGAATGCATTATATAATATAATATATTATATTGGTGTATGAAGGAGACGGGACAGCAGTTTAGTAAACCAGCACATCTATTGTGTAGCAGAACTCCTCTAAAACAATACTGCACCTCATCGATCTCAACTAATCAATGTGTCTCTGTGAGATGGCCAATAGGGAGGCTGAAAACACTGATCTACACAGACAAGCAAGGAGACAAAAAGAGCCCTGACCATATGTGTGTGTGTGTGTGTGTTTGTGTATGTGTGTATTCAAAGAGCCTGACGGCCTTGAAGTTCCTTTTAGATTGAGCATAACAGACACACATACATTGAACTGAAAGGCAAAATGACGACAGCTGTGGTTTGACAAAAATATTGGATCAAGGCGACAGCACAACCTCGCTTACGCACAGACAAACACAAACACAATGGAAGTTCACATAATTGCCCCTGTAGAGCAGTCTGGGATCTTTTGTCACATATTCTATTAAAAGGAGAAGTGAGGAAGGTGAGATGGGAATGTGGGAGGGTGAGAAGCACAAAGTGACAGGAAGAAGACTGAAAAAGAGAAGGGGCGGGGTGTGAATACAGGATTTAAAAGGAATAAAGTGGGAAGGTGTATTTCATATAGAAAATAATTAGCTCACGTAGTGGATATGACAGTGTCAGTCACATTCTGATTGGACTATAAGATAAGAACTATTGTGTAATTACTGGAAAAACACATTCTTGCTCTGTAAAATAGTGTTATTGGCATTGCAATACTAAACATTCCTCTGTTCCCTTGTGATCCTATTACAACAGCTCTTGTGTGTGTGTGTGTGTGTGTGTGTGTGTGTGTGTGTGAGATGGTCCAGGGCTTGGGAACGGATTAGTGATGACACAAGAGAGAAGGCTAATTGTCAAGCCCTAATCCCGCTGGACTCTCTGCTACTCTGGTTTGGTACTCTGGCCTGCCCACTGGACTGGCGCTGCCTAACAGCACTGACACCGGCTAACACGGCTGAACAGTCTGGATAAAAGTAAGGAAGCAAAAAAGGAAGCAAAAACAAAAGAGGAAAAATAGGGAGGATGAGGACGGAGAGGGAAAGAATGAGCAGAAAGGAACAGCCATCAGCATTCTTCTGACCTACCGCAGCTGTGTGAGCATCTTCTATGACCAAATGCCAACTTAGTCCCTGGGCTACTGTTAATGAGGAGGGATTTATGGGTAATATCAGAGATTAATGATTTAGTGTCAGGCTACAACACCCTCAGGGCGAGACATAGGGCGCTGTGTGTGTGTATGTGTGTGTGGATGAGTAAGTGAGTCAATGACAGAAAGAAATAGATAGAGAGAGGAGGTGACAGAAAAAAAGAATAATGACTTTTGGGCAATACAATTAAGGGATGATTATGGTTTATTACAACTTATTATTCTCACATTTTTATAGTTTGGGAAATATTGCTAGAACAAGTCAAAATGGAGCAAGAAACAAAAAACAAAGGACGTTACAATATATGACCAAAACATCCATCACAGTTTGTGACCTCCATGGATCAACTTTGACCTACTGTACTAGCCATAGTTGTGAACATAAATCATTTCCCTGTGCAGGACGGGATTAGTAACAGCATTTTGGGTGCAATCATTTTCCGTTTTACCTCCAAATAAAGTAGTTTAGATCATCTGACTAAACTGGCTTGTTTGCAATCTGCCCGATAGTTTAAATGAGTGTCTCTCAAACTGTGGGACGGGCCCTCCTGGTGGAGGAAAGAGCCACTGCATGACAAGGGAAAAAATATGAGGTTGAAGTTGAATGAATTTGATTTATGTGGGAAAAATAGTTTGCTGATGCTATTGTGCTGACCTTTATTTCTCTAAAATTCAACCTGGGTCCTTTTTATATTAGTTGTTTACCCTTTCACTGGTAATGACTGATACAAATTCTGGGGTTGGGGGGCATTAACTTTTTTAAGCTTCTGAAAGGGGGCATTCCAGAAAAAGAGAAACACTGGTCTAACTGCTCATGTTTTTTAACTCTTAATTGTAGCAATGTCTCTGTATTCCCAGATTTTGTAATGGCAACATGGGCCAAAGCTACAAATTGTAATAAACTCAAATGATCCTTGAAGCCCCTTAACACATCCACGGGTGCTTTGCATCTTCCTCATACCACAAATGCATTGCATACACAGCAGTATAGTTTTAAAGGATACTAGAAAAAAAAGTTCTAAGTCAAACTGATTTTAACTTTTTGAACTTCTCTCTCATTCTGTCTCACTTTCTAAGACACAGACAAACACACACACACCGGCACACACACACTGAGATCCCCGACAGATTCCGATAATTGCACATCTTTGCAGAATCACAAGTCCACCGTGAAACAGAATACATTGTGCCCAAGACAAAGGGTCCCTGGAGACAGGAAACAGCGTATGAATGGCTGTCTTTGTGCAAGGAAAACGAAGACAGCTCCAATCTCTATAAAGACCCATCTCAATAAACACCTCCACAGACACCCATCTACGCATCACACAGTTTCGTGATTGGCTCTTTCTGAGTGTAATCACAAGCACGGAGGGCCTAGAATAGATGGTCAGAGAATGAAAAGGTGGAGGGAAAGAGCTACAAAAGTGATTGGTGGGTGAGAAAAGTAAAAATGAAAGTGGTAAAAGTGGGGGCAGTGAAAGGAATAAAGTAACAGTATTGTATATAGAATAGGGGCGGGGTACAGTGTGCAAGGAGATCACACATTGACACAGAGATGAATGGAGGTATATGGTGAAATGCTGAGAGTAATTGCATGACTCAATGATGAAAGGAAAGAGTAATGGAGAGATCACAAAGGTGATGAATGAGAGTTTCCTAGGGTTCACTCCAGTCAGAGGTGCAGATGTAATTCCTGTAGTGGGAATGTACACACATGCACGTACACACACACACACACACACACACATATACAAACCCATGAGTAAGGAGTTGGGGTGGGGGCATGTAGTGCAGAGTTTTAATCCTGTACACCAAATAGAGCAGTGGGTATTTCATTAAAGGTCTGTTTCAGGGTGGCCAGACCTGACAGAAATCCATATTTCATTACTTGTCATCCATCTCGCTGTCTCTCTTGTGTGTGTGTGTGTGTGTGTGTGTGTGTGTGGGCATGTGTTGTGTACGTGTGGACATGTGAACAATGTCTTTATGTGTGTATCTTCATTCAAATGCATCTAAAACTATATGAATGAGCATGTAAATACATAAACCCATTTATGTGCACATTCTGGATCTCTCTTTCACTCTGTCCCTCTTTCTCAGCATGCATCATGCCCCCTCTCACCTCGCACAAACAGACCACCAAATGTTCAGCAAGGTTTAATAATACTCACATAAACTACATTGACGTAGTCGTCGTCAGACAGAGTCTCCAGCATTTCACTGACGGAGGTCCTGATCAGTTTGAGAGTCAAGCCAGACACGCTGCCACTTCTGCAACAACAACAACAACAAAATTCCTGACAGCTTTTCGCTGCAATCTGTCAGCTCAGTTCTGGTCCTGTGAGATTTTACTCAGTGTAATTAGAAATGCTTTCGACTTGGGAAATGCCTTACATTATGTGGCAAATCTAGGAAGGAATGTATTATAATCAGGGGAAATCATGACTGATGTGAAAAGGGTAAAGATCAATGAGGTTATAAAGTGACTCACGCATCCACAAGGATTAGCATATCTTTGGGTGAGGCAGCTCCTTGAATGTACCTAGATGGAAATTATTGAATGAAAGACAAGCTGGTCTGAGACATACACACACACACACACTGTCCAATGTTTTACATAATTATTTACTTTGAACACAATAGTACTTTCTAGCAGTTTTCTTACCATGGCCTTCTGCGGACATCATACAGGTCAATTTTACTGGGGGTCTTACGAGCATCCATCCAGGGAGAGGCTTTAGGAGGAGATAAGACATTAGTTGATCATATATTTTTTATAATTAAAGGGAATAAGAAGCTAATTCCTGGTTTGGACTGTTTTCTGACACCTCAGTCAGACTGAAGTGCGGCTCTGCAAATATCTGGCAATATGCAGCGTCATATTCCACCCGCCAGTGTTTAGTTGTTGCCAGTCATATTATGTAGATAAAAAAGGACACATTTTGGGAAGTTATAAAAAGAATATTTGTGCCATAATGATTGTTATCTTGCTGGATGGAATTCTACATTTTTGACACCATACATTCTAACATGTTTAACGCTTGCTTAAATTATTCAAGATAAACAGGAAGGAAATAAGATAAAATATTCATCTCAGATGCAAAGCACGGACCACTGGATTGACTTGCTTTGACAATAATCGGCTGCTTTCTATCTGTAATCGGCTGCTGTTCTATTAGTGAGGGGCACCATGAAAACAAGCCAGTGTGAGAGTGTGTGACTGCCTATCATGCATGCTAAGAGGTAAAAAAGGAACAAAGAGGAACAATTTCAGGGCCAATGAAAATTCATGAATATTAGTCATAAACTTTTCCCATGAAGCTATATAGAGTCTATGATGACAGGGAATCTCATGAATAGAAATAGCTTGGCAGAGAAACAACACTAGATTAATGCAGTTAAAGATAGTATGACACTGTCTATGGCACCATATAGAAAGTGCAAGTTGAGCAATTGAGATCATTTATCGAGCTTATTTGCTCAGTGTTGTGTGAACAAAGCAATATGTGAATATGTTCCCTGGCTGTTTGTAGCTATGATTAAAAGCCACATGCTGCATCTTAGGTCAACTAAATAATAACTGGCTGATGAATGCACCTCTGATTTAATAAGGGTGGAAACACACACATAGCTGATATAAAGAGAAACGTAAAGAACTTAGGAAGCCGAATTATTGGCCAGTGTTTTTCCCTTTCTTTTGATAAAAGTCAGGCATAGTATTTATTTTATTTTTTTTACCTGGGTAGTAGCGAGCCAGGCCTGTAGCACTACCAAACACCTGCCAGAGAAGTGTGGGGTCATCCTCTCTGTTCTTTTTGAACACTTCCTCCAGTGCCTCTGTCCAGTTCAGCTCATTCAGCACAATGGTGGCTAGAAAACCACGTATAAACAAACATATACATGTCAAAAGCGTTCGCTAGAAAGATAGACATATCTTACCTCTACAATAATAATCAAAGGAAATAACAGTGCAGGTAAGAAAGCCATTATATTTTCATTGTATGACTGTCGAGGACATCTATAGATTAACACATTCATTAAGATTCACACACACAGGCCAGCTTAGTGTCAGCCCACTTGCCCACACATGAACAAACATTAGGCCAACACATCTAGCCAGTGCCGGTATTTAGTAAGAAATACCAAGGAATGGTTTTCTCGCAAGTAATGGGTTTGCACCGATAAAAATCAAACTGCTTAATTTTACCTGTGTGCGTTTGTATGTGTGCATGCATGTGATTGATAGTGTGTGCTGTGAGAGGCAACAGGCATTATGGATATAATGACACAGCACCCAGACAGCTCAGAGCCACATAACACTCACTATGATGGATGAAGACACAGCACATGGTGCCCCAACTCTATCTTTTATCTGTCTATCTTTCTATTGCTTTTCTTTTTTCTTCCTTCCTTCATTGTTTTCTCTTTCTTTATAGTAGTGTGGTACTATATGTATACCCTTAACCCTTTTATGTGACTCTGTAAATCTATATGTGTATGTGCGAGCATGCATGTGCGAGATAGATTGGTATCCTGTACTGAATTTGACATGGCCCATTGATGTGCAAAGCAAACACTGTTCATTTGCATGTATGCCTCTGGAGGGAAGAGTTAATGAAGCCTCAGTTGCCAGGAGTACATGTTTTTTTATTATAGAAAGAGAGAGAGACAGTGAGAGAGAGAGCATGCAGTGTGTGCACAGTAAAGTATTTCCCTCATTAAGTGTAGAAGTTTAAAGGGAAAGGGAGAAAATAACACCACAGCCCTTGTTAGATAATGAGAAAATTACAAACTGTATGTGTGATTTTTGAGTTAAGACTGATGAAGACAGATAAGTAGGTGGATAGTTATCTTTACATAGGCCCACTCATAGCTATCTAGATGGCTAAATAGCGAGATAGTACACACACAAGATATATGCATTTAACATACATAGGCTAACAAACAGAAATATACTGTTTAAAAAGCAAACCAAAAACATCTAACCCAGTTGTAATATGCTGCTTTTTAATGTTCCCCTTGGTTTTGAGTACTCCTGAGTAGTCATAATATTTAACAAGCTGCTTCATAAGGGATACAGTATCCTCTAGTCACCCATATTGCCACTGACACTAATGAATTCCCTGGCTGCACTCGGCATGGCTTTGATGCCACACTGAATCCACACCCTGTGATGACTTCATCTCAGTGTGATATCAGCAGCGCAAGATAATTCACTAACAAATACAACATGGAATATCTTTTTTGGAACATTAAAGAGTACATTATTTTTCACTGCTTTAAAAAAGGATACTCATATATTCAAATAATGAAACTTTCTGGAATTAATTTTTAATCTCACACTTCTTTTACCCACTCACTTCTTTGTCAAGAGTTAGATTAGAAGATCAATACCATTACCCATTAGCTTAGCTTAGCACAAAGACTGAAACCAGGGAGAAACAGGTAGCCTGGTTCTGTCTAAACGTAACAATACCCCAATATTCTGATTCTGAGCACTTCTTAAGTTCCCAATTTATATGATATATCTTGTTTGTTTTATCTATACAAACACCAATGTGTAAGCTGAATGTGATGTGAAGGTCAAAATAGGAACCCAGGGAGGACTGGAGCCTGAGAAGGGTTGCAGGCAAGGTAGTAGTGGTGCACACATAGAAGGCCTACTGGCTGGTGCGTAGGACTGGGACAAAGCCTAAAATTGTAGGGTTGCTGATAAAAGGGGATGCCGTTTATCTTTTATTTTCACAAATGGAAATCTTTTGGAAATTTCATACTCTAATTGTCTGAATAAAAGAAAATTTCGGAGAAGCTGAAAATCTGAGGGTCGTCCTATAAATGTTATTATGCATTTAAAATATTTGTTCTGTTCTTCTGGGAGTGAAAAATCATATATACCCATCAAAATGATTTATTTAACTGTGTCTAGCCCTAGGGTATCATATATATTGTAAACATAAATCTTCAACTTATGTATCCAAAAGCAACACCACTGAATTTAACCATTTTCTTTTCCGTCCGTCTATCTCTCCCTCTGTCTCATAAACTCTGTCCTTCGCTGGACCAACAGATGTGGCTTTTGTGATCTTTCTGAACGTATTCGTTTCCTATGCAACACTCGTCTCACACACATGACATGCAGCTACCTGTAGAAGGTGATTTCATAAACTTGTCTCCCACTTCACCCAGAAAATCCAATTTTCTCCGGCTGAGCAAAGGCTATTCCTGGAACATTTATAGGGTGGCGATCAAATTGGAGTGTTGAAACCTCAATAACGTATGAATCCTCTGTCTCTTTTTTCTACAGGAAGACAAAATACAGTCCTGCATGTATTCAGGATGTGGCACATTATATGAGTATATGTTCCCACTCAAAGATGCATATTTTTCTTGCTATTCATGTGGGGACTCTTCTTTGAATACATTAATTACAATAAAAATCCCAAAAGCTTGTCTCAACCTCAAAATAAACTTGCAGTCACATACGGAGATAATCTAGTAATTACTATTAATGTAATGACTGCCAATAACAAAATCATTTATCCAATAATGTCAGAACATTTCTGAACCAATAATGTAATAACCTTTTGCGCATATTGTCAATCGTTATGACATTATTCACTGATTATTACATTATTAAATAGTTAAAAAAAAACACACAACACGCTGACATACCAAAGTAAATGGAGGCCACTGAAGACAATGTGTACAGCTTCATTTATAAGTTGATGCCAGCCGATTTGTGAGCAGGTGATGATGTAGACAGGGATGAGGAGAGAGAGATAGACAAATGTTTTGTTATGGCTTTTTGTGGAGTAATGGCTGCTACTTCTATATGAAGGTGTGCATGGCTGTGGAGTTGGAGCAAACACAGACATTGTTACGATTCGACCTCCCAAGTTTTGTTTGTACAGAAATGTCACCCTGAATACTTAGGAGGTCTCACCGTCCCTCCAATTACTACCTCCATCACAGCTGTCTTCCGTTAACTGTAGATGTGTAGATCTGAGGAGTCTGTCCTGTATGGGGGTAGGTGTTACAGCTCAGGACTAGACCATGCAGGGCTACTTCAGGTTTAATATGTTCCCTTTTTTTTTACATCTGCAAAGAAGTCTGGGCCACCAGCTTTGGGTCCTCTCACACATTCATACACACCTATAGTTTCTTTCATCTCACTCAGAGCAGACTTCAGCCCTGGATAGGTCCCACCAGCTCAGCCTATCTATGCATACTCATTATAGGCTACCAATAAACAGCATCCTTGAAAGAAAGGGAGTGTGAGGAGTCATGGCACCCAGCCCAGATTATGGCCAGAGAGATGTCAGAGGGAAAAAATGACAAAGTCAAAACGAGTTCAAAAGCATGCTAATAAACCTGGCTTGCACTTTTACAGATAACAGACCCTGACAACAGTGTGTACTCAAACCCATCCCTCATTTCTGCCCCTGTGTTTGGGGTCAGCAGAAAGGTGAAGTGTGTAACCTTGGGGCCAGACGGTTCCCCAGCAGGCTGAGGACCATGCTGAGGAAGTCACTCCACTGACGCACCATATCCCACTGCACGCTAATTACTGAATACCTAAACTGTACACACAGATACCCACACATACTCACACAGCCACCAATAACAATACAAAAGCACAAGCCAGGCAGCAACACTGCAGCCTGCTGGTTAGAGAAACTATCCTGCAACTGGACTCATCATGAACCATGTTTCCTGATGAAGTTACTTTGAGCAAATCAGTGAACACTTTACTGCTCACTCATTGTAAGTCACACTATGATCAGAGCATCACCCAAGAGCATAAAATGTAAAAATAGAAGGAAAAAAGCTGTTATAATACATAATTCAGACCACAGTTAAGATATTCAACAGACCATCCTTAAGTCATTGACATTCAACTTGAGCTGTGCTAATGTCAGAGGGACTCTAGAGAATCAAATTATTCTGAACCACTCTAGGTAAATGTCACCACATGATGAGGAAATGATCAGAAATTTACTTTTATAAGAAACAGATCAAATACAACTCTTTAACAGATGCACATATATTTCATCATAATCTTAAATTGTTTTACAAAGGACATTAACTACAATACCAGATAGTTCGAATGCAACGGACAATATAAAGCATAAACATGCCCATCAAACAGATACTGGCCCACCTTCCATTTTACAGTGAAATGATCCTCACCTGGTTATAAAGTGCTAATAGAACAACCATGTCAGATTCCACTCTTTAAGAATTAAGCAATAAGTATAGCTAAGTATAGTTATAAACAGCAATATATTAATTATACTGTGATGAAAGATACATTTCCAAATAAAACGTTCTACTTTGGGAAGATGTAGAAAACCTACAGGATCATGTAGAACATACAGTCATGTATAGTGCATATCAAGTGGGGTCACTGGCTGGAATTCATATCAAACTTTTCATTTATGGTGATCCTTCAAAGCTAATAATTCAAAGCCTCAGAACAAATGAACATGTTGAATAAAAAGACTAATCATCAAAACCATTCGTCAAAAGGGAAGCCTATTAAGTATGTAAAAAACTTTAAAAATACATAATACAGACAGATAATTGTCTTAGTCCCTAAAAAAACATATATCTGATATTATTCATATTCACTGGAATTCCCAATCGCTCGTTTAACACTTGCGGTCAACAGTTTTCTGCACTGTTATTGTTATGCATTGAATATATTATGAAATATCCATAAAAATAAAAATTAATTTAGTCAGGGGTCGTCAGTTTACTCGATGATAGAAAAGGTTCAGAACTACTGAGTTAGAGGGCCCTTGTATCCCTAGGAACACGGCTTAGCCAAGAGACAGTAGAGTACAGGATAGGATCCTATTATGCTGTATCACCTTTTTAAACCGTCATTTAGCCATGGGCAAATCTGCTAGAGGCACAATCTGTAAACAACATTTCATAATGGGTTGGGGTGTCAGTATCCATGGTTACCACTTGGGTTTTTGTGTGTGTGTGTGTGTGTGTGTGTGTACTCACAGCCATCATAGATGTCAGTGGGGATGTGGACAGCCGTGTGGTTGTGATCAGTCAAACGCTTAAATGACAAGTCCTCTTTAAAGTCTGGGCGAATCCTGTATTTCCTTCCTTCTGTCTCATTTGCATCCAGCTGAGGGAAAAAAATCAAGGTGCAGACAGTAATGCTGACCGTAGGTTTAAGGAAATATAGCATAATCGACAATCTGCTTGATGATATCTTGCTTTTTCTCCTTCTTATCATTTTCACTTGGGAAGAGTTGCAGGAGACACCCAGATTGCCTGTGCCCCTCATGGAGATTTATAACTCCTACCGTGAATTCACCAATTTACATCAATGAGAGCAGTATAGACAGGGAGATATATGAAGAAAAGCATGATGAGATATAGAGGAAAGAATGCAGGGTAGAGAAGGAGTGAGGTACTGAGGTGGAGAGAAAGAGGAAAAGCAAGAGGGGGGAGGGAGAGAGTGTGAACAGTTGCTTCCTAATAAAGCAACAGTGTAGCCAGCTCATACATCTCATCTGTCAATTAGAGGAGAAACATGGCAGAAATCTCTTCACCTGAGAAAGGGTGGGAGGAGGGAGGAAGCTACTCTGGAATAAATGCCTGGAGAAGAGGCAAAATAGGGAGGGATTGCAGTAAAAGGCTGAGGCAATGGGTGAAAAATTAAGACATGCATGTGGTGAATAGAAAAGCAAAACTGGAGGAGAGGACGGTGCTAGCACAAGCATATTACCAGCCCATGTCTGAGTGTGACCTGTGTGTTTGCAGGGGCTAAAATGGAAGGAGAGCAAACAGACGAAAGTGAAAAAAAGTACACTCACATTGTCCTTTGCGTTGTAGTAGGCAATTTCATCATCCTGTAAACAATTCACACAGAAGCACAAACATCACTTTATGGCTGCTTTGGGGTGTTGCACAAAGAAGGCTAACATTTATGTAATCATAAAATGCTTAATCCATTCCTAAACAGTTGTTTAATTTGTTGGCAGACAACTCCATTAGTAGATTCTCCAGTTTTATGTTAATGAAGAAACTAGTCCTTGCTACCAATTGAATGAATAGTTTATGAGTTAAGCTGAGTGTGCAGAGTGTTCCTCTTTTTACATCTGTGTCTGTGCACCTACGGCCATTTGCAATGCTCCAGGGAGGCATTTTACTGCCATTGAGAAAGCAATATAGTATATCACAGCTTAGACACATATAACCCTGAGTCTGTGACGTGTATTTTTCCTGACCACTACTTTACTCTGCTTTTTAACTGTCTGACACAGTATATCTTAGAAAGCAGAGTATCTGTCATCTGAAATGAGAGACATAATGCGTCATAACACAGTGTATAATGTGCAATAAATGGAGCTGTAATCACTGCTAACAACACACAGACGCAAACAGATTCCGACAATGAAATTAATTTATGGCCACTGAATCCAGTCTATGTGCATACACATTAATGTTTATGTATCTGTGTATCTCTCTGTGTTTTACCAATTTACAAAATATAATACAGACATAAAATGTACACATATATAATTCATGTACTTATGCGTGTATTTCTGTAAGCGTCTCTGTATTTTTGTGTCCCTCAGTTACCTCAAACTCGTCTTTCCACTGATACTCCATCTGGAAATTCTCAGCAGCTGTGGCCAGTTTCTGGGGAGTGAAATATGACAGGGATTTAGATTGGAAACTGCACAAGGTATGCCTCCTTCACAGCGTGAGTCTAATTCTAGAAAACCTGAGCAAAAGAAAGTATGTTAAAAAGCACGATGGAGACCAATGCAGAGACAGATAAATTATTACTCGCAGAGCTCAAACCACAGGTCTATCGTGGTCTTACAGCACTGTCCGCTAAAGGCCACACCACTGAGTGTCATACTGTCAGAATGAAAAGGTTGTACTGTAGGAGAGTAGTGTGTGTGAGTGAGTGTAAAAGAGAGAGAAATGAAGGGGGGGTCAGCAGTGTAAGAAATGGCAGATCACTGAATAAAGTCAAGTGCAAATGGATTACCAACTGAGAGGCTTTCAATCAAATTGCATACTACCAAATATCAGGAATAAAATGTAATTAACCTTACCTTCGCACTACACATATCTTTAACATGCACATACACTCACACAATAGAGAAAAAGAGAATGGTGGTAGGACTAACAGTAGTTAATTTATCTAGAACATGTCTTACACAGTACAAGCAATTAAGAGGACAAGCACAAAATAAACAGCACATATGTATCACTGGGTACAAATG